AAATTAATTTGGCAGCATTGCAGAGGTGAGACTTGGAGAAGAGTCTAGAATCATTAGGCTTATTGCGTTGACTCATGTCTGTGGTGCTGTGGGCCTGAACTCTGCCTGTTCATAATCCAGGTGGGAATTGAGAGGGCCCCATTCAGTTTAAAAAGGGACTAGCCACAAGAGTGAGGAGAATTTGAATGTTGGAAATTATTTCACAAAATGCTATCTTGTTCTTCAGCCAGTCCCTTCCCTATTAAATCATCTTGGATGTGTGTTATTGTTGTTGTTATTCTCAAGCTACTTACCATTTCTTTATCCCCTATAAATGATGGTCTCCGTAACCCCTCCCCATCTGTACTTCATCATTTTTCCTTTTAATCTTAATCAAAAATGTGCTCAGCAGGTACTCTCTGATTGTTAATTGGAATGTCCACTGGTGAAGCTTGCACAGTGGCATTGCAATTGCTTCCCTGTATCTTTTTAATTTTTTCACCCCCTCGTTTGCCTCTAAAACAGAAAATGTCTGTTCAACTCCTTGATCTCAGCAATTAGCTAAGTGGTATGCAGCTGGTTATCTGGAGGCAGGCTCAAACACTGAATCATCTCTGTTCAGGTCTGAATGGGAAGTTTCTTGAGCAGTGACACCTATAATTAGTGTGCAGTTGCAAGAAAGGTTTTTGGGAGTGGCAGGTCTCAAAGTGGTGTTCCCAGAGAAGCAGCATCCCCATGATCTGGGAAATTGTGAGAAATGCAACATCTAAGGCCCCCACCCCCAAATCTACTAAATCAGAGACTGGGGATGGAGCCCAGCAAGATTTTAACAAGCCCTCCAACTGCATGCCAAAGTTTGAGAACGACTACCCTGGAGAAGTAGCTTCACAGGGTTCGGCAGCCAGACTCAGGAAGGTGGGAAAAGAGACTGCAGCAAACCCAGGGAAGTTTAGAGGCTGTGAAGAGGGGGTGATCCTTCCCTCTTGGAGATGAGGAAGGTGCCCAGAGGAAGCACTGCTAGCAGTGAGATTTTGTGCTTAGAGCTCCTGCCCTCTGAAAGAAAACCTGTGTAGCCCTCACTTGCCTGGTGCTCTGAAAAGACAAGTTCTTAAGTCAGTCTTCGGGAAGGTCTGTTGCATCTTCCTGCTCAAGAGTCTTTTTGAAAATTTGATTACTAAGTAGATGAGGAAAGAGAAACACTTCCTACTTTGGGTGAGTCTTATTTTCCTCTGTAGAGGCATCTAAATGCTGATGATATACTCACTTGATGGCCAAGAGGAAACAGGAGTTTGTATTTCAACCTCTACCCTACAACTGAACCTTTACTCCATAAGAATCATCTCTTTACTGAGGCTCTTTTGAAGGTGCCCAGTCATGGAGTCCTGGTCCAAATGCTAAATTTGCCTATGGTTTTAGTATCACACTTGTTTCATGGATTATGGGAGCCTAGAAATGAATAGTCTGTCACTTACCAAGTATCTTGTATCCTCTAATTATAAAGAGGATGTAAGTTAAGTTAGTTAACCTGTAGCAATTTAGGGTAAGTCAGTTTTTTACCACCGGAGGCAGAACTGTGTTATTTCAGTTCGTAAAACTCCGCCTTTTTTTTCCTATGGTGACATATACTGTGTAAATCCTTCTGAGGTGGATATGCCTCATCAGACTGGAAATCTAAGTCTGTGTGTGATCCAGAGTCACTTTCCTTTGTAGTTTTTTTTTTTTTCCTTTAAAGCATAATTTCTTTGCTAGCTTTTGAAGTTTCTGTGTATCTAGACAAGGAAACTCCTCCTACTTTACACAAGAAGGGAGAGGTGTTTGTATTTCATTCTCCATCCTGTAATGTGCATTAATCATTAAGATAAAGTCTCTTTGGGAGGAAAATAAATCCTGGTTGATATGGCCAACTCTTTTGTTGTTGAATTATGTATTCTCTTTTTAAAGGATCAGTGAATGTCTCCATGGGTTGTTTCCGTCTGAGGAATGAAATAATGGGGCTTTGGAAGCTCCACTCTGTGGTCTGTGATTGTTCGAGTCTGTGAACTATAGGCACTCAGAGGACTTATCTCAGAGGGGATCTGATAAACAGTTCTGTTGCCACTTGAAAAAAATCAGGCAGGACATTTCTGCTGGGGCCGTAGTGGGAAGCAGGAAATAGCTAAAAGGGATAGAAAGTACATTGCCCACTCATCCTACCTGGGTCTTTTGTCCCAGAGTTTCCTGCTTCTCTGCCTGCCCCCTGCCGCCTCATATCATTGGGGTTTGCTCATATTACCTTCCAGCTTCAGTCAGAGGAAAAGCCACCTGTGCCAGCAGCATCATTTACTTCCTCTAGTATTTCAGCTCCAAGTCTAGTACTCAAGGAATGATAATGAAACATGATGAAATCAGTTCTAAATTGTTTGAAAGGATTAGAGAAAAGGTCTTGTATGGCTTCAACATGTTTCCTGTAAACCAGGGGTGTTGTTAAGGTGCGTTTTTCAACACCATGTCCTCTGGCTTCAAGCCCTTTCATTGTGGCCATTGAACATAAGCATTATGAGAAGAGATGACAGAAAGGACCAGGAAGGTAAGAAACAGTGGAGAAGTTGCTGCAGCCAATTCCTTATGCTCTTCTCAATACCTGTTTCCATTTATGTTGAATCCAAATGTCCTCCGTGGCATTCAGCTCACATCTCTCCCCAAGCTATTCCATTTTCTACCACAGCCTAGCAAATACTTTTCCAATTAGCTGTATTTCTAGGTTACCACCAAATTAACCACAGAGGCCATAGAATTAATAGGAGCTAGGGAACTCACGACGGCCCCAAATATGCCACCAGTAACTCCACCAATAACAACTGTGAGGGCAACAGTCAGGTTTTGGCCTTGGTGAAACAATAGTCAGTTTTCCATGATAGTCTTGGGAACCAATACTTTTTTTCTCTCCCCTTGACTGCGTATACATCAATCTTGATGACTATGAGTTTATAATGCATAGCTACGTGAGTCCCCGCTGGCACAAGTGAGCACCTGAGTACAGTAGTTACCTACAGATCTCCCCATCCTTGTTTGCTTATTCTCTCTCTCTCTCTCTCTCTCACACACACACACACACACACACACACACCATTTACTCTTTAGTAACGTATCCTGCCAGTGGCTTCCATAGCATAGAGATGCATTGTCTCTTCAACCCTGGAATCTATAGGATTTCTGGTCAACCCAGTTCATGCACATTTTTCACTGCAACTAGAGTGACTGGGAACTCTGACACCCATGGACTTTTGGGTCTTGTTTTTGAAACAAAACAAGCACCCCCATGGCCTGAGAATTGCAAAAGTGTCACCGATTCACTGTAGCCTGGATTTTCCTTTTTTCATCAAAATTAGTACCTGTGTAGGAGAGCAGGCCTAGAGCCATGGCAGGCTGTGATGTTTGGCTTCCTTGCTTGTGTCTCCTTTCAGCATTGAACTAACCAAATTCCATGCTGTCTTTATACCCACTTCCCTATCTTAGTGAAAACCTGGCAATTGTCATTTTTTGTTTTTTTTTTTGTTTTGTTTTGTTTTTTGTTTTTGTTTTTTTTTAAAGAACTGTTTTTCAGTGTTGTTTTCCGTTCAGTCTGCCTAGTTTGTGACTGCAAATATAGGTTACTCTTAATGCTTGTCTGGAGATTTTTCCACGTGATTTGGGAGATGACGTAGGGCATGTTTGACTTGTAGCAGAGATGGAGAATGGATAAATTCAGTGCATGGAACATGATCGGAGATTCCCACAGACTAACTCACCCTGCCTCTAAGTGGGCCCTGAGTTCCTCTACTGCACAGATTCCTGCCTGTTGAACAGCCAAGCGTTGTCCTTACAGAAGTGCAACTATACTAACTGGTATTGCACACAGTGATTTCCAAACTGGCACTGCTAGAAAATCCTTCATCTTCCATTTCTCAAGCTGGCCCTCTCCTGGAGGGAGGAGGTCTATGTCGCTTCCCTTTAGGGAAAGTGTTTTGCTTCTGTTGGTATTCTGTCTCCTTTCCCTCACCTCACTTCACCTTCACGTTCCTGGCCTGGGTGTTACTATTTACCTACTGATCACAGAATACTATATGAATTTCCATTCACAGCTTTGAGTGTTTATGCGGCTTTCCTGCTTCCCACCCAGCCCAAACCTTGGGAGTTTCCACACACTGATCCTCTGATCAGTTTGACACAGGAAAGCACACAGGTCTTGTACCAGTTTGTATAGTAGTACCCTTTTGAACTGGCGACTCTTGAAGTAGAGTGTGCTGGGGGTTCGCATTGGCTGCTGGACACACACACCAAGTCAATTAGCATGCATGCCAAAAAAAAAAAGAAAGAAAATTAACCCTTAGAGTACTGCTTCAACATTTTGGTTTAATGGTCTGAATTTGGCCGGTTGGACAATACTTCTTTCCCCAGATGTGAGTCCTGCACAGAAAGTCTGTGCTTAGTCTAGCCAGAACCTTACCCAGGATCCTCTCCTCTCTAGCTTTCTTGAGATGCTCCTGGGTCCTATATTTGTTAATCAACTAATGTTTTTTAAAAGGTCCAAAACACAACCACTGTGTTTAATTGAAAACGGGCCTCACTGCCAATGTGTTGGAGAGCATGAAGAACTGTGTTTTAGCTTTGGCATGTGTCCTCTCAAAGAAAGAAAGAAGTTCTTTAAGGGTTAATATGAAATTAAGGAATTTGGAGGCCTCTCCTGCTTGTCCTTCCTCCAAGGTATCTGCATGTTCCTCTTTAGATTCTTCGTTCAACTGCTGAATGATGATAAAAAATGATAGATATATAATAATTTCAAAAGCAACAAATAAATGAACAGTAGTTCCCGAATGGTTGAATGGAAAGACCCCTTGGCAATGCTTGCTTGATGATCCCAGGAGGCAGAAAGACCAAATGTTTTCTTTTATGAATATTCATTTCATCGTCTATCCTAAGCACTGCCACTTCTCAGCATCATGGGAGACTGGATGATACTACCTGTCATTTACCTCTTGCTTTTTCTTCTTCCTGTCTAATAGCCCAATAGAATCCTGCCAGAATTTCTACAAAGATTTCACATTACAGATCGACATGGCTTTCAACGTGTTCTTCCTTCTCTACTTTGGCTTGCGGGTAAGTTTGTGCAACATTACTCAGTATCACAATGGGGTGTTTCAGTCTGGGACCCAGGGATCATCCCCATCAGCATCTGCTCTCACAGTCAAGATAAAACCCAGTGTTTCCAGGAGAGACAGCACACCTGCATTCTGCTTTTCAGTCTGGGAGAGAGCCCGCTCCTTAGCTAAGCATTTTCTGGAATTCACTTAAGTTTTGTTTCAAGGGGGAGAAATATAGATTGAGGAAAATTGATGATGTATCCACGGGTGGATTGTTTCTCATCTCTCTTCACACAATGCCATGTTCCCTTAAAAACTAAATAGAAATAGGCCGGATGTGGTGACTCACGCCTGTAATCCCAGCACTTTGGGAGACTGAGGCAGGTGGATCACCTGAGGTCAGGAGTTCGAGACCAGCCTGGCCAACATGGTGAAATCCCATCTCTACTAAAAATACAAAAGTTAGCCAGGCATGGTGGCGGGCATCTGTAATCCCAGCTACTCGGGAGGCTGAGACAGGAGAATTGCTTGAACCTGGGAGGCAGAGGTTGCACTAAGCCCGAGATCATGCCACTGTACTCCAGCCTGAGTGACAGAGTGAGACTCCATCTCAAAAAATAAAATAAAACAATATAGTTCATCTATTTAGGGCCCTATATGGGGCACTAGAAAACGTGTGTGTCCAACCATAAAAGCATGTGCTTTGTGTAGATATGAGAAGGACATAACCTCTCCCTCCAGACCTTAAAAACTAAATAGAACTAGGCCGGGTATGGTGGCTCATGCCTGTAATCCCAGCGCTTTGGGAGGCTGAGCGGGGTGGATCCCTTGTGGTCAGGAGCTTGAGACCAGCCTGGCCAACATGGTGAAATCCCATCTTTACTAAAAATACCAAATTTAGCCGGGCATGGTGGCCCTATGGAAATTCAAAACTTACCCCTATGAAAACTCAAAACTTACTCTTTGACAAAAGAGTGTACACTGGATGCCGGCACCGTGCTTCTCATGTTTTTTCTCTTTCTTTTTTCTTCTTTCCTCCAGTTTATTGCAGCCAATGATAAGCTGTGGTTCTGGCTGGAAGTGAACTCTGTAGTGGATTTCTTCACGGTGCCTCCCGTGTTTGTGTCTGTGTACTTAAACAGAAGTTGGCTTGGTAAGTCAACCTCTCTTTCCTTCTCCTTGCTGGTTCCCGAGTCCTGGCTGAAGGACAGAATTTGCAGTGGACCAGGGGGCTGTCTCCCTACAAAGAACATTGTATGTATTAATGTGAACAATGCTCTTGGAGTTTTAGAAGTTGATGGTGGCAGCTCTCTTTGGAGCACTAGCCCCGAAGGGTTTGCACAGTTCGTGCTTCAGGTAATGCAGTTTTATAATTGTCAAAGCCTAGTGGTCATCACTGTCACAGCCAGGGCCTTTATGTTCATGGTTCTGTCACTTTTCATTCAGGAACTTAGAGTCAGGACTGGATTAAGAAGCCCATGGTGGTAAAGCCAGCTTTTCAAGTGGCTGGCTCAGGCACCCTAGAGGCCTGCCTGCCAAAGTTAGCTTCGGTCTGCTTCCAAAAAGTGGGTTCTTCATGGTCTATTTATAGGTACAAGGTTCTTTGGAGGGCAGGGAGAGATGAAGTTTCTTGAGTCATCGCTCACCTTACTGAGGTCCCTTTCTGGGTTAACGGGAGAGTGCTGCTGGGCTGTACTGTACAGGGCACATCCTGGACCAGGACTAGAACACTTTAGTGGGGAAAGTAACTTGATCAGAGAATAGTCCTGGAAGTCCAGGGCTTAGAGAGACAGCTTCAGTTTCTCATTGCTGCGTTGATTTCATTTTTTCCCTGAATTCAGAGTATTCCTGCTGTCCTGGGGTCTACTAGGGAAGAAGGAAGGCTGAAACAGAACCTGGAGGACTCTCTGTGGGTTCCTTCTGTCCTTATTTTTTAGGAATTTTGGCTTAAGTTAATTATTTAAAAAGCAATAGGCATGCGTTGTAATCAGTGAAAACAAAAATGTGTGAAGAACACATTCATCATCTTTCCCCCTTGCATCCATCACTGCCTCCTCCTTTAAACACCCAGGGTTCCCAGGCCTTCACATGTGAAGTGTTTTAGAGATGGTGGTGTTTGTATGAGAAATTGTATCAAATAATTGCATTGCACCACAATTTGGCTTCCTCACTAATCGTGATGCACATCCCTTCAGCTCTGTGATAACTCATTTTATAACAGTTGTATAAGACTCCATAATTTGTTTGTATCACAGTATATTCAGCCATAACCCTAATGATAGACCACCTGAATGTTTTTCTTTTCCTCCTATTGCTGCTAGAAACGATGGTTTAATAAACACCGTTATTCATATATTTGTATAATTCTATTTCTGTCAATAGTTCCAGGTTCCTGGAAGAGGAATTGCTGGTTCAAAGAATAAGTGTATTTTCTTTTGTGCAGACATTGATGGATAACTTAAAAAAATGTTGTGTCAAGATAGGCTTGCACTAGCAATCCATTTTGTTGCCATTGTTAGCACTGTTCATTTATTATATACCTAGTGTCAAGTATTTTTTAAAAATAAGCATCTTCTTAATATAGTATGTGTGGTACTCTATATTATATGCACATACATATGTGTGCATGCATACACGTATGTATGTGTCCCTATCCTAAAAAGATTTCTTTTGCTACTAGTTTTCTTATTAGAATTATATTCTCTTGCTCTAAGGAAAAGTTTTCGTTTTGGACCTGAGATATGCTTGGTTAGACTGGATTTTTTGCTTATCGTATCCCAATTCCTTCTTATTTTCTCCTTATCCTGATGAGGCTAGCAGAGTCACACACTAATCTGAGAAGTGTCCTCAGTGTAACTTACGTGTTCCTGGGTGTCAGCGGTCCCAGCTGCTGTAGCTTCACTGTTAACTGGCTTTGTGACCTGGGAGCTCACTTTTCTTAGCCCATCGTTTTTCATCTGTGAGATAAAGATTTGGCTAGATGATCTTGAAGAATCTTTTAGCTCAGGAAGTCTTTAAGGCTCTTGAGTCATTAATGGGCAATGTAGGATCTAGGTCATTGGGGTGGATAGGGAATCTAGTAGAATTCTATCAGCAGCATCCCTGAGTCAAAATTATGGATGAGCTGTTAACAGGGAGTCCTTTTAAAACATCTTGTTGCTAAGAGTTCAAACACACACCCATGCACACACAGGGAAATCGACGGGGAAGGGGACAGGCGGGATCCGCCTTCTTCACCTGGCTGTGCTTAATTACCGTGTGCATTCGAACAACCACTTTGCTCTTCTGGATCCTCAGTTTTCCCATCTGAAGAATGGGGGTTTAAATGAAATTACCTTCTAGTCCTCATACTTCCTGAATCTGCACTTTCTGCCAGTGTCTTCTCTCTTGGTCCCCTGTGGGCCTGGGTGATGGAAGGGCTCCCTGGTGACTGTGGTGGAGACATCCTCCTCTGCAGTGAGCAGAACATGCCCCCAGTAAAGGTGTGGAGCTGAGCCTCCTTGTGGTGAGTGACACGTTCTCTGAAGCATTTTAGCGCCAGGAGTTCTGGTATGCTTTGAAATCCATAGCCTTCTTGTGGATGATTTAATTCTGATTTTTGGAGATATGTTCTGATCTCATAAAAAATCTATTGGCAAAAAAACAGAATGGGGGCAAAAAATAATTGAATAGGAAATAAAAGAGGTTGAAATGAATTCTAATGAGATACATCTTTGCATCAACTGTGGTCGCTTTCCAAAAGAAATGTGCTCTAAATGTGCTCACTTCCGTTTGTATATTAATATTTATTGAGCATCTACTATATGTCAGGTACCGTCCCAGATGATTGAGAAACAACAGTGTAGAAATAGAGTCCCTTCCCCCTACCCTCCTATACTGCAGTGTGGGGAAAGCAGGAAACACTGAACCTAATAAGGAAGTAAATGACACGGTATGATTAGGAAGCATCAGTGCTGTTGAAATTGAACCCATAGAACAATAACCTTTTGGTCTATGAAATAATAATAACACAAATAAAAAGTAATGTCTCTCCTCTTGTAGGAGAAAGCACCTGTAATGAAATGCTTTGGGTTCTTTGGTAACGAAATCTCCTTGGGTGAGATCTAAAACTTATCTCCCTGTTATGGAAGAGGATTCAGGATAATAATATTTCAAGGAGGTTCTCATCTGACTTAATACATGGGTTATTACATTGTGAAACAATTATTGTACTGATGAGCTGCCAGAGAGAAAATGAACATTCCCATGAGATATGACTTATAAAGGAGAAGAAATAATCCCATTAAATAGGGGCATTTCAGGCTTGGCTGCCCTTCTCCTGGAAAGTGGAAGGGTGCTGCCTTTTCTGGCTGAGGTTTGGGATAAGATGCAGGAAACCGAAGTCTATGCCAATTCTACTGCACAGACTTTCCCAGCCCTGCTGAGGGTAGGACTGTGCAGTAGCTGGCTCTGTGGGAGATAAAAACCAGAGTGAATGCAGGGCCCCTGCCCGTACCTTTTCCAGAACGCTGTCTGCACCATGTTTAGTTTTCAATTGTTGGCATATGATTGTGTGTTGTATAGTACAGAATACATTCATTGCACAGATCATCCTAGCGCATGTAACGGTGTATTCATAGAGACACTAATATGTAGTCAGCTTCTACTGTGTGATGGGCACTCTGGAAAGCCCCTCACCTACATGGACTCAATCCTCAGAGCAAACCTATGAGGCAGGACTTGTCATTGCCCCATTTACAGATGAAGAAACTGAGGCTCAGAGAGATATCTCGTCCAAGGTCACACCTCCTGGGAGTGGTGGGAGGGGTGCATTCCCCAAGATGTGGTCTGACTTTATGTCCACACTCTTCCTCTGCTCCTCTTTCTGTGTCCTTACCCTTGAATGATTTGCGGTTGGGAGCCCTGGGTTGGGAATGACAGGGCTGGTTTTGCTGCGTTGTGTTGGCATCCCTCCATTGGTGCTTACTCATAAAGGGCTTCACTCCAGGCAGGAAGAGAGGGGAGAGATCTTATTTAAGACTCTGTGTTCTCCTGGCTCCTCTTTCCCCTCCTCCTTGCCCACCTCCAGTTTCTAGAAATGCCAGGAGGACTAGAAGAACGCAGAGCTAGCCTGGTATCTCCCGAGTCATAGTGCCCCTCAGCAGCTTGGAGATCCGACCTGCTCCATCTGGGACAGAGACACTGGAGCTTAAGCACATCCCCAGATATTAGTGCAGAGTAGATTAAAGCTCAGCTCTGAGCTCCACCAACTCAGTCTACATTTTGGCTCACCCATTTGCTGATGGGACACTTAGCATGAGCATTTTATCTTCCTCAGGCTCAGTTGTCTCACCTGTACAATGGGGTTAATTATAGCACCCACCTCATAGGGATTCACTGAGGTAATGTGAGTAGAACAACACGTACTTCATATGAGCTTAATGAACAGAAGCCGGGATTACCTCGGCCTCTCTTTCTAATCTACCTATCATATTTTAAAGCACCACAAGAGAAAACAAACCAGAACAGAATAAAAAATAAGGCAGCGGATGTGAGGATACTCATGTCGACAAGCAGCAAGATACTGCTTATTTTAATTCCTGTTCCCACCCACCAACTTATTCATTTTGTTTCCCTTACAAATCCCGACCTCACTAAAATAAATGCACCTTGAAATGAGAGCTGTATCTTATTTTGAGATTTGAATAACATGCTCCAAGGAGAACTCATTTGTCCGTCTGTCTCATTCTCTTTTGGGAATGTATCCCCAAGGTAGGTCGATGAACTGTGCTGCCTCTGTTTGTGTGTTTGTTTTTTTCTTTTTCTTTTTGATTTTATTTTATGGAGTTTGGCTCTTGTTGCCCAGGCTGGAGTGTAGTGGTGCGATAATGGCTCGCTGCAACCTCCGCCTCCCAGATTCAAGCAATTCTCCTGCCTCAGCCTCCCCGATAGCTCAGATTACAGGCACTCGCCACCACGCCGAGCTAATTTTTGTATTTTTAGTAGAGACGAGGTTGCCATGTTGACCAGGCTGGTCTCAAACTCCTGACCTCAGGTGATCTACCCGCCTCAGCCTCCCAAAGTGCTGGGATTACAGGTGTGAGCCACTGCACCTTGCCTGTGTGTATGTTTTTGTTGAGGGTGATCCTGTGGGATTTAAAGAAGGGAGTAGGG